TCCCACCGCAACATTATTTATTGAGCACAGTCGCCGAGGAGAGCACAATTGCTGAGGAGAGCACAGTCGCCAGGGAGAACACAGTCGCCGAGGAGAACACAGTCGCCGAGGAGAGCACAGCCGCTGGTAAGAGATGATGAGAGCAGGAAGGCGACAGCTGACTCGACAGCTGAACGGGAGGAATTGAACCGGAGAGGCTCACTTGAACAGGAGGGAGGGGGTTGAGTTGGGAGGACTCTTCCTGGTCGAGTAAGAAGCTCATTATGCCGGGGAAGAGTCCTCTGGGATCAGGGGGGGGGGGTGCTAACGGGGTTAAGAACGAAATCCTTTAGCTGGGAGAGAGCTCATTGAGCTTAGAACGCGCTGACTTGCGGACTGGGCTGGGGAAAATTGTCTCACCTTCGATATAAATATTGCATTGCACAGCTTGAAACATGCAGTCGACAGTGGTGCCGAGGCTGGCATCCATACGCACAGGGATAGGGGATGCCGGACGGTGTTACCAGTCCCCTCTGGGACACGCATGTTAGGCCAAACAAAAATGTCTGACTTGGCCGAAAAACGGCCAAAAGATGGCTCGCCATGGTGACTGAGGGCGAAGTCCGCCGATTGTTTTAGCACTCTGACGATGATCGGACACCGTACATAAAACTCACAAGCTCGCCTGGCAGTGTAAGGGTGACAGCTGCCGGCTTGCCTGCCGCCGCGCCCGTGGCTCGACCATAGTGTGTGACCAGACCAGACCAGTGGCTCTGCAGCCCTGATGTGTTACCAGCCGTCCCAGCCAGTGGATCTGCGGACCCAAGCCTCAGCTGGACTACAGCGCTCTCTGCGGCCCCGATGCGTTACCAGCCGTCCCAGCCAGTGGATCTGCGGACCCGAGCCTCAGCTGGACTACAGCGCTCTCTGCAGCCCTGACGTGTTACCAGCCGTCCCAGCCAGTGGACCTGCGGACCCGACCCTCAGCTGGACTACAGCGCTCTCTGCAGCCCTGACGTGTTACCAGCCGTCGTAGCCAGTGGATCTGCGGACCCGAGCCTCAGCTGGATTACAGCGCTCTCTGCAGCCGTGACGTGTTACCAGCCGTCCCAGCCAGTGGATCTGCGGACCCAAGTCTCAGCTGGACTACAGCGCCCTCTGCGGCCCCGATGCGCTACCAGCCGTCCCAGCCAGTGGATCCGCGGACCCAAGCCTCAGCTGGACTACAGCGCTCTCTGCAGCCCTGGCGTGTTACCAGCCGTCCCAGCCAGTGGATCTGCGGACCCAAGCCTCAGCTGGACTACAGCGCTCTCTGCAGCCCTGGCGTGTTACCAGCCGTCCCAGCCAGTGGATCTGCGGACCCAAGCCTCAGCTGGACTACAACGCTCTCTGCGGCCCCGATGTGTTACCAGCCGTCCCAGCCAGTGGATCCGCGGACCCAAGCCTCAGTTGGACTACAGCGCTCTCTGCAGCCCTGACGTTTCCAGCCGTCCCAGCCAGTGGATCTGTGGACCCGAGCCTCAGCTGGACTACAGCGCTCTCTGCAGCCCTGACGTGTTACCAGCCGTCCAGCCAGTGGATCCGCGGACCCAAGCCTCAGCTGGACTACAGCGCTCTCTGCAGCCCTGACGTGTTACCAGCCGTCCCAGCCAGTGGATCTGCGGACCCGACCTCAGCTGGACTACAGCGCTATCTGCAGCCCTGGCGTGTTACCAGCCGTCACAGCCAGTGGATCTGCGGACCCGAGCGGCGTCTGGACGCCGGCGGACGGCGTCTAATCTAAGGGTGGCGGCAGATGACGCGGACCACTACGCGGCTCGCATGCGGAGGATCCAGACCAATGAACGCGCGCGGACACACAGTCGCAGTGTGCGCGGACACGCGATGCGTGCGCTTGCGAGCGATTCAGCGGGAGTACTGGGTGTTCGTGCGTCCCCTGAGATCTGGGGTGCACTCGCGGTCTCATGACGTACGATCCATGTACTTAGGGTGAAGGGGTTTCACGACGATTGGATGAAACCCTTTTTGTGTTGCTATGAGCAACAATCGGAATGAAAACGATTTTAAGTCCGCACTTGACGCATGCAGTGTGTTTGTTACCAGTCTCAAACCGTACGTCATATATCGCGCTTGCGTTTTGAGGAATTACGTAAGTTTTTATGTTAACAGAGATTACCTTTCCACCCCAAAACATTTCGAAATATCCTTGACCAGACGATATTGGGGCGATTGGATCTTGAGGGGAATGCTGCACATTTGCAGATACTGAAGCAACCTTCAGATATGATGAAGTGAACCCACTTTTAACTTTTCGTTTACTTATAAGTGGAAAAGGCTGCTCCAGACAACACAATTTCTCTGTGAGGCAGATACGCTCGCCAATATGTCATTGTTTGATCACGTCCTCGTACCTCACAAATTATTGATGGAGGGCCAATTGACGGCCGTTATATCTGAAAGTCGTGCTCACGAACGCGGGATGTGAACCGGTAAACAATTACATTTTGTTTGGCCTTGGCAGGATTTGCCAACGGAATGGCAGGACTTGAATAATGTTATTTATGACGTCACGAATGTCTGGGTTTTAGCTTGAAAGTTTCCCAGAAGCAGTCAGCATAAGCTCTCGGGCGTGTAGCTCAGAAACTATAGCTAGCTCAGCGTGCAACTCAGCCCGCACTTTGGAAATACGATCGCTATTTTAAAACCAACTTTCCAGGGCAAATTTTTCAGTCACCTCTAAAAATCGGCAGTATTGAATATGGTTGTACGAAAGTAAAAAGCTATGGGTAGGATAAGCCCGTATGTGCTTAAATGGAATGGCTAACGGCTTGGGTTTGTAATTATTTTGAAAAGTTCTTGTGCATGAACACGAACATGGGAAGGACTTGCACGGAATGTTAGGCAGATACCTCAACTGTATAGGCTTTTCAAAGTTATTACTTATCATTTCGATACAACTTCATCATCATTAGCTCCATGCACGTTACTTATGTGATTAGTACCTAATGCAAAATAAGCGTGGGTGCAAGCTTAATACAAGTTTCATTCATTTTTAACAATTAGTCTGAGCCAGTGGCGTCAGTTTACATACTTTGCGGGGTCTGAGCCCCCGGTGCTGACTGGATACCCCACCATGCTTCTCTCAGCCCCGCCCCCCCCCCCCCCCCAATGCACATGAGCGGAGGAAATTTTGGTCCAAATAGATGCCGAACAATTATTATTACTATTGGTATGCTAGATAGCAGATACCTAAACACATCAGTTTTAGCATCATGTTAATTTTATACCAGATAGCATCTTAAAGGCCCGTAATGTTCCTGTCATGCTACCTCCTTCATTTGTTAGAGAGTTCCACATTTCTATGGGGCTTTGAACTGAAATAGCCCTCCAGAAGATCATTCGGTGCAGTTCACAGCCCTTCCCTTCTTAAAACGTAACACCCATTTGTTTCGTGATTTCATGTTTGATTGCCTCTTGGTCTGCTGGTCTCTCATGGTTTGCATGGTCTCTAGTTACATGGTCTTATGATCCGAACAACAGGTGTTAAGAAAAATAGTTGAGACCGATTTAGTACCTTCTAGGTCAATTATGGGTGACCTCCTTGACCTCCTTGATCTGAATTTTGTTAATCCACGTAAGCTGCATTCCTGTTTTGGGTTTACTTTTCACCTATCAAAACACATTTGAGTTCAGTAAGCCTGTTCTAAACCCGGTATCGCGATGTACGATTACGCCCTCGGGGTTCAGACACAGGCTTGGGTCCCCGCTAGCCGTATTGGGAACCTGCCCGAGGCTGGGAGGAGCGAAAAGCCGATGCGGGTAATATTTCGACTTAATTTTTTAAGTTTTTACACCACCAACGTACAAGGTTCGACAACTTTGTACAAGAGCTAAGAGGCCAGCCGCCCGCCACCCGTAAACGCGTCATTGGTTCTGGAGTTGGACAGACCGCGGGTTGTGTCGCAGCGCGCCTCTCGGGCCTTCAAGTTGTCGGCCAAAGGGCGCGGCGCGGCGCCTCCTGCGCGCGCCGTTTGCAGCCCCGTGACCCACTTGGCCGGGCAGCCGGGCGGCTCCAACGCTAGCGGAACGCGGTTCATATGTACAGCACATGACACTTCCCGCCGCTGGCCGCCCGCTGGAACGCGGTTCATATGTACAGCACATGACACTTCCCGCCGCTGGCCGCCCGCTGGAACGCGGTTCATATGCACAGCACATGACAATTCTTGCCGCTGGCCGCCCGCTGGAACGGCATGAGGCGAACCCGGACGGTGCAGCGACAACAGCGACGGCGTGGGCGGCGCCTTGGCAGCGTGCTCACCCGCCCCGTTGCCATACCGGGGAAACCCACAACCACTCACACCACACCGCCAAGCCGCCCAGCGTGATCGTACACGGGCTCTGTATCGGCGCATTCTGCCGCTGATGTCTTGTCGTGTGGCGAGCTCTGTTCGCAGCCTACGGCAGGTGCGTGTTAGCGGTTGGGACGGTGAGATCTCTCTCGCCTGCACGACTCGGCGTCTGCAGCTACTGAGCGAGCTGTGTAACTGTGTCGAGACGCGCCGGGAGCCGGAACGATCCGCGCCGCCGGGCGCCGGAGATGTGCGAGGGACGGACAGCGCCACCATCCGACACTCGCTCGCTCTCTCACTGCCGGCGCCGCCATCCAACGCTCGCTCGCTCTCCCGCTGCCGGCGCCGCCATCCAACGCCCGCTCGCTCTCTCGGTGCCGGCGCCACCATCCAACGCTCGCTCGCCCTCTCGCTGCCAGCGTCACCATCCAACGCTCGCTCGCTCTCTCGCTGCCGGCGCCACCATCCAACGCTCGCTGGCTCTCTCGCTGCCGGCGCCACCATCCAACGCTCGCTCGCCCTCTCGCTGCCAGCGTCACCATCCAACGCTCGCTCGCTCTCTCGCTGCCGGCGCCACCTCGGCCGTCAGGAGACGCCTGAGCGGACCCGCAGGTGTCGCGCGGCGCGACACTGGCCCTACAACAGACCACACGCACGATATCTTGCCGTCTTTTATTGTGTCGTGTAAAACAGTAACAAAACTATTACGTCATACACATCCCACTGTAACGGCCCCGGCTGGGTGGGATGCTCGAAGCCGGACTGGAGCCAAAATGGCGCATGTGACGGTGTTTGTTGATGAAATTACGGAACATAATTACACTCCTGCTATGTAGGATTGCATGGCTAAAAACATAAGAACTATGACGATGCATTACAGCTTATCACCATTCAATAGATCACCGATTCACCCCAGGCCAGCCTCCTTGGCCCTAGCCGGCCCCTTTGGCTCGGCCCCTGTCCCCAGGGAAATCATCGGCATCGTCAACTGCGTTACACCTAAGGCACGAAAACAAACAGCGTCCCTACACCAGCACGCCGTATTAAAACAACAGCACAGGACGTCATTGGTGATTTTAAACGCTTCAAAATGATGGGTGCGAATGGAAAGATACGCAAGTTCCAAAACGAAAAGAAGACGAAGCCACAAAAACACCCACACAAGGTTTCGATGGAGACAGAGGCGCGCACCGAAGACTAACCGGTGGGCTTACCTCAGGCAGCAGAAATAACAACAATGACGAAATCATGCGGATTCACATTTCGCGAACACAACCCTGAACCCCGAATTGTTCGATAGGCTATCCAGCACAACGCAGGAGCACGGGTAGATATTTAGCGGAGCGACTGTATATCATGTCCCCAGACTGCCAAGACTGCATTCCTTCTCTGAGGTAACCGCGGAATCAACAGCAATCACAAACCACTCGTAGCAGAGGATCAGGATCCACGAATTCCGCAAACCTCGTGCACGGCACGCTCGTCAGTCAACAACCAAGGCTCACTTCACCGACGGCCAATAGCAAACAGCGGGGGTCATATTGTTTCAGTTGTGCTCCTTCGGTGCGTCGTGTGTGTGTGCGTGTTGGACCACCAGTACCTCGCTTATTGCTGACGTCACGTGGGATTGAGACGAGCGCAGCCGACACAGGCGGATCTCCACGCTCGCAATATGCCCGGAGGCGTCCGGCGCCAACGGCAACGGCGGCAACGGTATACGCGGCTTGTGAAACGGCCCGATAGACGGGAGTCGGTGTTCTAGCCAGACGTTGACACCCGCCGTTCACAAAAATAACTACAAAAATACCGTTTTCCAAACGGGTCTGGGCCGGATGGTGGCTTGCTGGGCACGGCCGACGGCGGTGGCGAGCCGGAGGCCGGCGGCGGCGGTGCTGCGCTGGCGGGCGTGCCGCGCTCACCCGTCTGCCGCGCCGCTGCTGGACCGCTCGGTGTAGAACGTCACCTGAGTCTCTGCGCGCGGCGAGGCAGCCTCCGAGCGGCCAAGCGAGAACATCGAGAGCGAGGCGAGCGGCGCCGGCCGGCGCATCATCTTGCCGGACGTGATGAGCCGGCCGAAGCCCTCCTGGTGGGCGAAGGCGTAGCCGGAGCGGACCGAGCGGCCGCGGCGGCGCGCCGACGGCGTGCGCTGGATGTCGTCCAGCCGCCGCTTCTGCGCCTTGTCTTCGCGCTGTTTGCGGCGCACCAGGTCGGACAGCGTCGGGTGGAGGTCGACAAAGTAGAAGCGCCATGCCAGCACGGGCACGGTCAGCACGATGACAGTCAGCACGGCGGTGAACCAGAAGTTGGCCTCCTTCATCGCCATGCACAGCGAGCCGACGTACGGCCCGCCCATACCGTAGTTGTAGACGAAGTGCAGCACGACGTAGGCCAGCAGCGAGCCCCAGACGCACACGTGGTTCCACGCCGTCCAGTAAGCCGTGTCCAAGCAGATCTGGAACGTCGGGCACGCGTGATGCCGGACACCCACGCCTGGTGGGGGAACAGGCTGACACGCGCCAGGAGGGACACAGCCATACGCCCCGGGAGGGACACGGACACACGGCAGGGAACAGCTGACAGGTGCGCGGCCCACGAAAGGGCGGAAACGCAGCGCGGGTGCTTCACGCCTGAAGCTAGGCAGGTTGACCGGAAAGGAGATGGAGAGTGGAGGTGCAGTTCGACCGGCGCGCTTTCTCCCAAGCAACGACCGCCCTGTGGGTACGCATGGCAGAGGAGATTTGCGCTCACCTAGTTCAACACGACATCAACAGTTTTTGCCGGCATCGCCTCTTCTAACTCAGGCTCACAGTCGCTCTTCTGTTCACACAGGTCATCCAGCTTAAAGGTCCAGTGCCACCAATATGAACGCCCTTGTGGCAGTTCAAATGCAGATCTGCAATGCCACACTTCATCCGGCGCACACTGCATGGCAAATTAGCAGTTGCAACCACCAAGCTAAAAACCGGGGCTGCAAACAACAACAAAAGCTTTTGAGCTATGTTGGACGATGGCAAGCAGAGGGATATATGGGGCTAGAGTCTCTATTGACCGATGCACACCTGACATCCCACCACAACCCACCTGCGTCGTGACCACCACCACGAGAATGGTGGCCACCACTGCTCCGAACAACTGGTGGTCGGAGATGACGTAGCCGTTGGGCGAGAGGGCGTCGCGGTAAGTGCCTGAGAGACGGAACAGCCGGGTCAGCAAGGGCAAGAGGGACCGCCCGGCCTCGCTGTCGACCCTGCCCATACCGGGTCCTCCCTCCCCTCCCCGGCCCGCCCCACCAGACAGGCGACGCCACCGTCTCTGCCCCTCCCCCTGCCCCACTTTGCTTTGTTCATAGGCCGCCCGTTGAAGTCGATTCCGTCCGCCCCCGTCTCCCCTCCCCCAGTCCCACTGAGTGGATGTCGAGGCCTCGGCGACCGGATCCCCAACCTTCACCGCACGGGGGTCCTCCTCCCTCACCGCACGGGGGTCCTCCTCCCTCACCGCACGGGGTCCTCCTCTCTCACCGTACGAATGTCCTCCTCCCTCAACGTACGGGGGTCCTCCTCCCTCACCGCACGGGGGTCCTCCTCCCTCACCGTACGGAGGTCCTCCTCCCTCACCGCACGGGGGTCCTCCTCCCTCACCGCACGGGGTCCTCCTCCTTCACCGTACGGAGGTCCTCCTCTCTCACCGTACGGAACGGAGGTCCTCCTCCCTCACCGCACGGGGGTCCTCCTCCCTCACCGCACGGGGGTCCTCCTCCCACACCGAACAACAGGTCCTCCTCCCTCACCGTACGGCACGACGAACAGCACCAGGGATGTGAAGAACCCATACAGGGCCGCCTTGAAGAACTCGGCCTTGTTGAAAAACGCGTTGAGCAGGCCGGGCGTGTACAGCTTGGGATAAGTCAGGCTGTGTCGATCCTTGACATCTTGGTCAAACACGGCAAGTGCGAGGACCGGCATAGACGTGTAGAAAAGATTGTAGACGGCAATAAACATAGGGTCGAAGATGGTCTGAAAAGAACGAAAACCAATCTCGGTGGGGGGCGTGGAGCAGACAGGCCGTGCACGTGGACCAGTGCACAAAGCACACCACGAGACGACAATCGAACCGCCCGCGCGCGCGCAGACAACCACGAGCCAGAGAACACCACACACACACACTCACACACGCACGCACGCACGCACGCACGCACATACGCGGGAGTGGCATGCCGCGCCGGCAGCTGCTGCTCCAGGTCGGCCCACAAGACGACAACGAGCAGTGGCTCCGTCTCGGCAGTGCCTCGGGTGGCAGGCGACAGGCGGCACGCAGGCCGGTGCGGTGCGCGTGCGCCGTGACCGGCCCCGGCCCCGCCACTCACCGTACGGCACCAGGAAGAGCAACAGCGAGGTTACCACACCGTGGATCAGGCTGCCCACAAAGATGCGCTTGTTGAAGAGCAGAGAGCGCATTCCGGGCGCGTACAGTTTGGGATGGTACAGACTGCTGGCGGCGCTAACGTCCTGGTCGAACACCCCCAGCGCCAGCACCGGCATCGAGGTGTAAAACATATTGTAGGTGGATATAAAGAAAACGTCGTACACCGTCTGAAAGGGGCGGCAGACAGGCGAGCGCCGTTAGCCGTCGGCGGCCCGCCGACCGGCAGCATGCCTGGAGACGGGACCGGGGTCACGGCTGGGGTCACAGCTGGAGCTCCAATCAGGGCAGGGGTCAGGGCTGGAGTCAACACAGAGGCCAGCGCTGGAGTCCTGATCGCAACAGGGCTGGGGTCCAGGCAGAATTCAGGACTTGAGTCCGGGAAGAGTTCGGGATGGAGTCCGGGCCGGGACAGGACTGGAGTCCGGACAGAGTTCATGGCTGGAATTCAGGCCGGGACAGGGCTGAAGCCAGGGCTGGGGTCAGGACCGGAGTCCGGGCACGGGCTGAGCTGGAGTTAGGGCAGGGGTCAGGAGTGGAGTTAGCGTCAGGGTCAGGGGCAGATCCAACTCATCAGTTGTGGGCCGCCACGACCACGCGCCACCCAGAGCACTAGCACACATCTGCGGACAACACGGCCTGCACTGGGAATCCAGGCAACGAACAATGAAACGTTGGCGCATAGCATGAAAGCAGTATGGCGCATATGCCATTATATGCAGTAGATAGTAGGTCAACATTTTATTGCAAGCAAATCTGCATTCTATTCAAATCAGAAAGGCACACGCCGGGCTGGCTAGAACGGGAAATATTTACAGGGCATCGTAAGTGTCTTTGCATAAGAAGCCATACATAAAGCGCTCAGGCAGGCAGCGAGGCAAGCGTTTGAAAATCAATCAACATGTTTTTTCACACGTCATCCTGCAAACTAACGGTTTGGCTGAGCCTGTTGCCCATCTTAGATAGTCTTGATCTTGATGTACGATTTGCATGCATATTTACACCCAATATAATAACACTGCATCCGAAACAAAGCGTTGTCACCAAGATTACCATTGGCATTGATGCACACACGCGCCCGCCCGCCCGCCCGCCCGCCCGCCCGCCCGCCCGCCCGCACGCACGGACGCACGCACGCACGGACGCACGGACGCACGCACGGACGCACGCACGGACGCACGCACGTACACACACACACACACACACACACACACACACACACACACACACACACACACACACACACACACACACACACACACACACACACACACACACACAACACAGACGCGCGCGCGCGCGCGCGCACACACGCACGCACGCACACACCCACACAAAGTCGGTTGGTCGCACCGACAGGACAGCACTCTACGAGCCCATCACGTCCGCAGCAGCACGCCGAACGAGAGCATATGATCGATGACGTCAACCCCCTGGCCCCTTAAAACGCGGCCTGCAGGCGAGGCGCGGGCATCGGACATCGCCCTCTGCGTCTTCACCCGCTGGCGGCCGTCCTTCAGTCGTGCGCCCGCTGGCGATCGGGGCTGGTGTCACCTCCGTAGTCCTGCCCTGGTGCACGGCTGCGTCTCTCGGGAGGGCGGCGGCACACGCCCGCCCCACCACCTCCACCCCGGGGCGGAGCTCACCTGCGCGCTGAGCCGCAGAAAAAACGAGTACCAGAAGTGGCAGAGCGTGAAGGCGAAGTTCTTGTAGAAGAAGTAGCGCAAGAACTTGCACATGCGGTAGTAGGACCAGCGGCCGTGCACGAGCAGCAGCCGCTCCAGGTAGCGTGAACTGGGGCGATGCTGTAGTCGGAGGAGAGGACGGCCTGCAGGCCCTCCTGGCCCGAGATTGCCCACGACCCGATGTGCGCCGCTGCCGTCATCACCGGGGTCATCAGGTGGCTCTCGCCGGCCGGCCGGCGGGGGTCACGCCCAGCTAGGGGCCACTCGTCCGGCAAGAACAGTACCGTGACACGGGACACTGACCAGGGGGTGGCGAACCAGGCCACGGTACCATGACACGGCACTGACCAGGGTGGCGAACCAGGCCACGGTACCATGACACGGACACTGACCAGGGGTGGCGAACCGGCCACGGTACCATGACACGGACACTGACCAGGGGTGGCGAACCAGGCCACGGTACCATGACGCGGACACTGACCAGGGGTGGCGAACCAGGCCACGGTACCATGACACGGACACTGACCAGGGGTGGCGAACCAGGCCACGGTACATGACGCGGACACTGACCAGGGGTGGCGAACCAGGCCACGGTACATGACGCGGACACTGACCAGGGGTGGCGAACCAGGCCACGGTACATGACACGGACACTGACCAGGGGTGGCGAACCAGGCCACGGTATCATGACACGGACACTGGCCAGGGTGGCGAACCAGGCCACGGTACCATGACACGGACACTGACCAGGGGTGGCGAACCAGGCCACGGTACATGACACGGACACTGACCAGGGGTGGCGAACCAGGCCACGGTACCATGACACGGACACTGGCCAGGGTGGCGAACCAGGCCACAGTACCATGACACGGACACTGACCAGGGTGGCGAACCAGGCCACGGTACCATGACACGGACACTGACCAGGGGTGGCGAACCAGGCACAGGACTCATGGACACGGACACCTGGACCTAGAGGGTGGCGAACCAGGCCACGGTACCATGACACGGACAGGTACCAGGGTTGGCGCAACCAGGCCACGGTGACCATGACACGGACACGGGCTTAGAGGTGGCGGAAGCCAGGCCACGGTACCACGACACGGACACTGACCAGGGGTGGCGAACCAGGCCACGGTAACCATGACACGGACACTGGACCGGGGTGGCGAACCAGGCCACGTACGTACCATGACACGGACACTGGCCAGGGTGGCGAACCAGGCCACGGTACCATGACCGGACACTGGCCAGGGGTGGCGAACCAGGCCACGGTACCATGACACGGACACTGGCACAGGGGTGGCGAACCAGCCAGTACCTGACACGGACAACTGGCCAGGGTAATGACACGACACGACCAGGCCACGGACCATGACACGGAACTGGCGAACCAGGCCACGGTACCATGACACGGACACTGGCCAGGGGTGGCGAACCAGGCCACGGTACCATGACACGGACACTGACCAGGGGTGGCGAACCAGGCCACGGTACCATGACACGGACACTGGCAAGGGGTGGCGAACCAGGCCACGGTACCATGACACGGACACCAGACAAGGGGTGGCGAACCAGGCCACGGTACCATGACACGGACACTGGCCAGGGTGGCGAACCAGGCCCGTACCATGACGCGGACACTGACCAGGGTGGCGAACCAGGCCACGGTACCATGACACGGACACTGAGGGGTGGCGAACCAGGCCACGGTACCATGACACGGACACTGGCCAGGGGTGGCGAACCAGGCCACGTACCATGACACGGACACTGGCCAGGGGTGGCGAACCAGGCCACGGGATCATGATACGGACACTGACCAGGGGTGGCGAACCAGGCCACGGTACCATGACACGGACACTGGCCAGAGGTGGCGAACCAGGCCAACCAGCGAACGGCTAGCTGATAAATCGTGAGTAACAATCGCTTCACAGGAAACTGGGCAAAACAGAACAGAAAATAACACGAATGTTTGCGAAATCGCACCATGCGCAATTTCGTCTCGTTTGTCAAAACAGATAAAATGTCAGGAGACAAATATCGTTGCGGCCGAGGCCGCATACAGCTATCACAGCAGACCCTAGGTGGACTGTTGCCCTCGGCTAGTGAAGGCCCCCTGGCCGTGAACGGAGCCGCCACGTCTGCGCCCGCTCCCGCAGCCCGACTCACTTTTGATCATGGACACGTCATTGGCGCCGTCACCGATGCTCAGCGTCACGGCCTTCTTGTACTTCTTCACCAGCTCGACCACGAGCGCCTTTTGCAGCGGTGTGACGCGACAGCAGATGACCGCCTTGCACTGGCAGGCCACCTCTAGGAACTGGCGCTCCAGCTTGCTGGTCAGCGCCCAGATCAGCGAGTGGCCGTTGATGACGAGCGCGTAGCCGCCGCGCCGCTCCGACTCCTCGACGGGCGTGTCGTGGCCGTACCCCTCGTCACTGCCGGCGGCAGAGGGGGCGTCACCGGCAGTGACAGGCGGAGCGGCGCCGCCGTCCCCCGGCCGCTGACGGCTGCGCCACTCACACGCGATGGGGTCTCGCGGCTCGCCACTGCAGGACAACTGCGGAGCCACACCGATAAATCTGCCGCAAAAGCGACGCTTATGGCAGCGAGCATTCGGCGGCGGCGAGTGCCGCCGGTGTTATACGGCATCTATTTGTCGGGTAACTCGTCGCTTTCACCAGCGAGGTATTCGATACACAAACAAGTACCTGCAATAACAAATATTCATTGTAAAAATATTGCAATAGCAAATAGCAAATTCAACACGCCATCTAAGAACCAAAACTACAGCACTGCAAGTTTGAAGTATTATCTTAACATTTCGTTTAGCGCACGATCATTGCATCACACACACCCGCGCGCGCACACACACACACACACACACAGAGCATTGGACAAAAGCGCACTCCAATGTCTGCACAGGCGCGGTAGCCGGCTGGCGGTCGACCACTTCAGCTCCAGACGCCATGCAGAGGGCGCATGTTCGCTCCGGCCCGGCAGCGGCTGACCGCGCCAGGCTAGGGGCCATCCACGACCCGTTCGGTCGGCCCACCCCTACGCACGCGGACGCCTGCACGGGCAGCACGCGGCAGCGGCGGCCCAGCGGCCAGGAGCGGCACCCGGGGCGCGGACCCGGCGTACCGCCAGTGCAGTGTGGAGGCGGACGACAGAGCGAGCGTACACCAGTGAGGCACGAGCCGCAGCCGGCGGCGCTCGTGCGTGCCATGCGATGGCAGAGGCCGGTGACAGGCGGGTGCTGCGTGCCCGGCTCATGCAAGCCGGCCACAGTCCTCAGCTGTCCAACCCCACCGGTGGACAAGGCTTGTGCGCGCCCGGCCGTGCTAACTAAGTCCGTGCCCGCACCGCAGCCCACTCTCAGCTGGTCATACTTCAGATATACGCAGTTTATCCCTAGCAAGTGTACAAAAACGTTGCTATAAAGCGGAACATGTTTACAAAATATTACTTCCAGCCAGTACCAGATTAATACCACTCGGGGGCCAAAACTCGGCTATCTTTTTCGAAGCAGGGCATGTGCATTAGAAACTCACGAACGCCTGAGTGTTCTGCAAGACAAACCAATGCCTGCATATCGTGACGCATGATGAGACTTCTTTGGTATGCCTATAACAATATCCATGACACAACGAATGCCGCGAAATGTAATGGTATGTGATGTAATGTAATGGAACTTAAAAACATCAATACCTAGACGGCACAACTAAAAACTTTTATGGTCATGATTTAACAGCGATTTCCCTTCAGTTCACCAACACAATTATTTCAAACCTACATCTTTTAGCAGCCGATTTCACCATTTTGTTGGATGACATGCTGCCTGAATAGTCTCAATTTTCCCTGCCAACTTTTTGCCAACTCTGATAATATCAGGTGATTTGTTTTTATTTCCTCTCAGTTCAATCCATGGGTTGTTTTGCGCCATGAATGTGCCTCCTCCCGGATCCGCACGAATTATTGGCAAGCTGCAGGCTGCGCATGACCAGAGTCGGAAGCGCGGAGCAGGCCACGGCAGACCGCGGCCGCCCTCGACGGACGCCACAGCACAGTCGGCGCTCGCGACCGCAAGCGGGGCGTGGCGGCCAGCGCTGGTGGCGCCGCGGTGCGGAGGCGTGGCCAACTACTCACGTGTGGACCGTGCCGCCTCTGCGGGACGTGACGTACAAGTACGTGCGGCTAGCCCAGCCCACCATGGAACAGACGGAGATCAGAGCTGGCCGACAAGCGGCCGCGGCGGTGGGGCATGCCTAGCGACGGTGCTCGCCCCCCCCCCCCCCTCCCTACCGCACACGGACACACAGGGTGACGACTATCGACGAGCCCCATGCTGGGCCATGGAGGGTGCCGCGCGCTGGTCTAGTGACGGTGACACTGGGACGGCACGTGCAGGCGGTGGTAACGGGATCCACGCCAGTTTTGCCCATGCGGGGCCCCAGACAATCGCAGGAGTTCAGCTGCTATATCGTCGAGGTCCATGTTTCAATTTGCCACCTCACAAATAGCACCGTGGCATCAAGTGGCACGACACGAACACGCCAGTTGGCGGGGGGGGGGGGGGGGGAGGGGGGGGGGGGTTACATCGGTCCAACACGACCCCACAGGTATCTTAGAAGCTGTACGTTTGATATCCCCATCATCAGCATAAACACGTAGTCAGAATAGCAGTGCACGATGCGTTTCGCTTTTGCATAATGTCCGGCAAAATACTCATGCGACTATCATCGCCAATTTAGGAGAAGCTGAGAAAAGATGAGCAAAATACAGTTATCACTCATTATCATCTATAATGCTCGGCAACCGACCCAAAATCGTAAGTTTCTTCGCCCGCAGGAGGCGTGCACTGTCGATCCTCGTGAGCAGGCATCCCTAAAAAAGGCCCCAGAGCCCCGCGACGGAAGTTGGCTACAGCATCGCGACACGATACACTGCGTCCTCATCGCTGCTCAATCTCTGCGAAGCTACATTTGAAAAGACACATCTTCGCCGAGGGCCTCCATAAACAGGACGCTTGCCTACACTCAGCTGACGTTCTGACAGTTCCATATCCGCACTAGCTGCCACACGTCGATGTTTCAGAGAAGGCAACCCGACCCAAATCGCAGCATGGCAGCGACCACGACGTCAACGACCAATTCACGTGGATTGCGCGGCGCCGGCGCGCGCCGCTTGCACCCCCTGCTCGGTCAGCAGACAGCTGACCACTGAGGCCGCCTCGACGACGCCGATGGCGGCGGCGGTGGCGCGCTGCCTACCTGAACGTGACCACCGAGAGCGACTGCTTGTGGGCCGGCTTGGCGTCGGCGGCCGGCCGGTTCAGCTCGTCCAGACAGCTGTTCAGCTCCGTCTCCACCTCCTGCATGCTATGGCCTTCCACCACGAACACGTCCTGCAGGTCGTCCGTCAGCAGCTGGCACGAATAGCCGATGTTGATGGCCGTCTCTGGCGGGGCAGACAGCGCGCGGTCAGACCGACTGGACGAGGCGGGACGAGGGGCGCAGCCAGGGAGAACGAGGCGGGTCGCGGGGCAGGGTTAGACCGACCGGACGAGGCGGGACGAGGGATACGGTCAGACAAGACGAGCCAAGACGAGGGGTGTGTTCAGTGCCTGCGAGCTGGGGCGGTGCACAAAGTTCAGGAGGCCGCACGGATGGTGCAGCAGAAGACAGCAGCATCTGTGGCGGCTTAATGTCAGGGTACACCACCAGATGGCAGGCGAAAGGGCCACGGCTCCGGTGCGCAGCATCACTTTTACACACGTTTACTCGATAAAACATGAGCATCATGTCCTACACAAGCTGGATTGGAATGCTTTTGTCCCCTTACCAAACGGCTGACAATTGATGACAGCCTCCACACCGCGAGCAACAAAGTACAGCAGCGTTCAACATTTTCAGTGTGACGTGGCCCAGCCTCAGATAATACTACTTTAATACACTAAATGGTGCTTGTGCACAGAAATTTGCTGACCAGTATTTGCATGGTGAGCATGCTGCATTTAAAATCCAGTCCGGCGTCCGAGCCAGATGTACAATGGTTGAAATTATTCATTCGAACTCACTACTATGGAATTTCGCATTACTTAAAATTATTTGTAATGTGCACTTCATAGGCGTTCTCAACACGGACACAACATTAATAGAGCGTATTAAATCTGAGCACACATCAGTATCTTCCGGATTTTGCTCTGCCTGTAGCACCACCTCACCACCGAACGGCCCCTCGCCCTCCCGTTGTGTCAGCCTTCAGATGGCCGGTAGTTGGGTGACGCGGATCGGCCGGGCTGTTACCCTGTTTGTCGCCGGTGAGCACCCAGAGGCGGAGGCCGGCCAGCATCAGGTTGGCGATGGTGTGAGGCACCCCGTCCTGCAACTTGTCCTCGATGGCAGTGGCGCCTGCGGCAGGCCGACGCGCGGTCAGCCGTCCATCGTGCACATCACACAGATCACACAGGTCATTCAACCATACAGATGGCACAGATCATACACATCGCACAGATCACACAGATCATAAAGATGATTCAATCATACAGGTGACACAGATAATACAGTTCGCACAGATCTTACAGATCACACGGGTCATACAGATCACACATATGATACATATCACACAATCATGCGGATCACACAGGTCATAAATATCACACAGATCACACGATCACACAGATCGTACAGATCACACAATCACACAGATGACACAGATCATATAGATCTTGCAGATAACACAGATCGCACGATCATACAGACCACACAGATAGTACAGACCACACAAATCATGCAGATTACTCAGATAAAAAATCGCACAGATCACACAGACCATACGAATGACACAGGCCTCGGCTGAGCTCACCTATCAGCATCAGGTCTCGCTCAATCTCCTCGTACAGGGTGTCCAGCTGCTCCTCGCGCTGCACCATCGAGGTGGATGCCTCGTGGTGGCGCTGCTTCCAATCCTCGTAGTAGGCCTCGTCCAGCTCCTTGTACGCCAGCACCAGCGTGCGGAGACCCTCGCCGGCGAATTTCTACCGGTGGTCGCGGCGACATTCAGACCCTACTCCACTGGTCCAGCACTGCCTTGACATCGAATCGCATGATGCTGTAAATGCATCTTTCACTAGCTGGGTACAGGCAACAGCTTTGCAAGGGCCTCATTTGAATGCTGTAGCAGGCTGACATCGTCTGAGTTACTGCGGCCAAAGACCTTACGACTCAAAATACCGCGAAAGTGCTTGGCTCATCAACAGGCCGACCAACAATCCGACAGACAGACAGTCGGCAAAAACAGCCGCCTTCCCCTGAGATAGGAAGCGCAAATCACGCCAGAATCGCCAGAATCCGGAATCAAAGTCGCGTCTGCCTCATGGAAGCCCGAGCCGCTGCCGACCGAGCTGTTCCGCCGGCCGGCCATCAGCCTGACGGCCAGAGGGGGCCACCGGCGGCAACTCCGCCACCCACCTGCAGGTGCTCCTCAGTGCGGCTCTTGAGCTCGGGCTCAGTCGGGCCCATGCGCTCGAACAGCACGTTGTCGGCGCCCTTGCAGTACAGCCGGATCCTGCCGGCGCGCCTCAGGATGACCGACATGCGCTTGCGGACGTTGTTGAAGTCCAGGATGCAGAGCACCTCATGCTCCTCGTCGCCGCCCGGGCCGCGGATCGTGATGGAGTTGGGCGTGCGGGCGAGGAAGATGAAGCCGAAGTTGCGCGCCGCTGACACCAGGGCGTCCTCGTCCGGTGACTGCGCCTGGTACTTAAGCTTGCCTGGGGAATGGGCGGAGACGGCGCGCCAGCGGTCAGACTCCGGCAGCAGTGGCGATGGTGGCTGCCCACGCCGTCGCCCGATACAGAGCTGAAGCGGTACCGGCACACACAGAGGCCAATTAGGCGCTACCACCTGACGGCACGCTCGCCCTGTGTTAGCACAAACAGCGGAAACGGCCGGCATCCGGCCGCTCGCGGTTCACAGAATGCCGAGAGGCCGGAAACGAGGGCAAGGTTCGACGGCGAGCGCTGGAGGGAGAGCGGACACTGCGGACGGAGCGGAGCCGAGCGGCAGCCGAACCCTTGAGCGCCGCCGCCGCCGCCGACACTCACCGTTCTTCTCCTCGGGCATGACGGTGTGGCAGAGCGCCAGCAGTCGGAAGAACATGTGCGCGTCCTCGTCCCCGCTGCGCACGGCGTCCAGCAGAGTCTGGTCGTAGAACCGGAACGACTCCTCAGCCATGGCGTTGGCCGAGAAGTCCACCGGCTTCGTGTACTGGCGGCGAGAGGACACCAGTCACCGGCGAATCTGTCAGCGACCCCGCTCGCCCGCCCGCGGGGACACGCCCAGGAAATTTGTCTGGTGGGAGGAGGCAGGCTCGAGATCACTATGTAAGCCGACTGTCGCCATCCGGTTAGGATCTTCCCCCCCCCCCCACCCCATGGGAAGTTTTGGGCTTTTTTACCCCCGACTGGGGGGAAGGAACCAGGAGCCGAGCTTGGGAGGTTTTGCCGCGCAGTTACATGTTAGACGGGTGTCTTGCTGTCGCCGTCTGTTAATCCCGTTATGCATGCGTCGTCCGGCTTTCAAAATGACGACAGAACGGATAGCTCTCGTTAGCTACCCATCCACCGACCGGCTTGCTCAGCCATCGGGTAGCGCCGATTTGAATGGGCTGGAATACCAGCATTGGGACTCATCTACCAGCTTTAAAATTTGTGCGTCCCATTTGATGAACGGTGCAGAGTCCTCAAAATCATTTGTCGCAGGCACAGACATCAGCGTCGAAGCCACGGCTGTTTTTCACCGGCGCTAACGTCACCCGGAACAGGACGGAGCACGGCCGTCTCGGGCCTCCAATAGGCCAAGTGGTGATGCACATGGCGGTCAGCGTCGCTCCTGCCACTGGCTTGTTATTCGGCCGGCGGGGAGCAGGTCCTGGTGCGGCTTCATGTCTTGCCTGGAGGTGTGCGGGTAGCGTATCCGCGTGGCTGCCTGGGCCGGTGTCTGCTGGCGCCCCTAGCAACGACCTGAAGCCCTACCAGGATCTGCTGCACTTCCGGACGGTCGGAGCATTGGGCGTGTGGCATCGCCACTTCGTCTACTGGAGGTCCGAGATGATCGTGTTTCGTCAGTTGGATCTGGTAGATGGGCCCTCCTAGCGGGTATTCCAGCTTAGTCAGATCGGAGCCAGCCGGGGCCTAGATGAGTCAATCGATGAATGCCAAACCAGCAGCGTCCATCCGTTTGATCATGATTTTGAGAGGTTTGCAAAAGAGACACGTGATTTCGCAGGGAGGGACGTGCCAATGATTGGTATTTTTGCGGGCATTGTAGCCATTAGCAAGCATTAGAAGGTGGAAGTCACCGGCCGATCAGCCTCAGGGTAAGGAACGTGCAATGAGTACGCGTCGCTGGTGCGTACCTTATCCTGAACGTGTACTGGGTACGTGTCGCTGTTTAATGACGTAACATGTGAGACGTCTTTATAGCGACTCTTTTACGGAATGATGATGTAACGCGAATGTCTGCTTGATAGATGCATTTTTTCATTGGACATGGCTTGACATCCTGTTTTCTTTTGGTGGAGATTGAGCAGAGAACAGAAAGGTCGAAGTAAGGTGAGATGGGGCTCAAGCTAGGTCAAACCAGGGTGCATGACATTTGTAAACACCATCGAGCCCCTTTTGTCGCAATGATTTGTTTGATATCCATCTCGACGCAGTTTAACATCTTTCCACTTTAGCACTGCCGACCCCTACCCGCCGTCCGAACCTTGCTTCCCTTGAGTGAAGTGTCACATAAGCCAGGTGTTATGGTCAGACATCTGGAATCAGTACAGTACGAGGGCTAAGAGGGCTTGCGGCTTTGTGTCAAGCGTTCAAGTCGATAAAATCCTCATTTTTACCATGGCTGGCTGACTCCTCAGAGGGAAAAATGGGTGTAGAAGTCCGAAATTTAAGCTCTTTGCGCACCCCTAAACATGCATGACTTTTGAAGAAAGAAATAAAACTATTCAGTTCACTTTGACCTTGAGGCCATAGCCACTAGCCCTGAGAAGCCACACTTTTCCAAAAATGCTATTCTGGGACAACCGGCTGACCGCTGCCAAGCAACTGGCGCAATCCCAGTCGCAATGCTGTTAACAATGTGCCATGGGCATGATGAAGAAAATAAGTACTTCTTGAAATACGAATGCGATCACCATGCACACTTATCGATATGTAGACGGTTTCACAAAGCCGACAGGTTGGCCCGCTGCGCGCCGCCTGTACCGCGCCCTAGGCTGTCACCGAGCTACCAGCACGTTTGGTCGCTGAAGCCGCCAGCGCGCCGACGAGCCCATGACGAGAGCCGGTTTACGGCGCCGTAAAGCGGTGACGATCGGGGCCGGTGCGGTCGACCGCTGATGATCCAGAGCGCCCGCCATCGAGCCGAGCCACGCCTGCAGCCGCTGAGACCGGGCGGCGCCCGGACGGCGCCGGTCGGCCGACGGGCTCGGCTCGGCTCGGCTCGGCTCGGCTCGGCTCGGCTCGGCTCGGCTCGGCTCGGCTCGGCTCGGCTCGGCTCGGCTCGGCTCGGCTCGGCTCGGCTCCTCAGTCAGCCGCGACAACTCACGTCCGCGGGCTGAGAGCCGTCTAGCGCTAACATTATATAGGCCGATGGAGACGTCAGTGTCGGACAGGAACGCCTCCCCTCCCTTCAGTTCCGAAGCTGATTTGAGGCTTCTTACGAGCGCTGCGTCGGTCCGGGCGTTTGAGGTACATTGACGCTTAGGAGTATGTTGACACTAAAAAGCACTACACTACACTCTGGCGGCGACGCACTGCTGGTGTTAGCAACTCATTTAAAGGGAGTGTGGGCACTGTATGGGCAAATGTTGCACGCTCGGGATGGTATAAGAGAGCTGAGACCTTTGCCTCAAGTGTCCACATCAATGTCAACGTCCGTTTTTATAACGCCTTGCCCACCCTGGGCGAAATGGCTTTACATTACCGAACTGGTTTTACTTCGTTCACCTTCGCAGATCCTCTAGATATGTATGAATTTTGACAAAAATAATACTACTGCACTCGCCTTGGACCGCGACTAGGAATTTGTGCAGCAAACAGTGTGGTGCCATTAGCTGTATCCCCAAAAATCTATTTCCGCCTCCATTAGTGCCATCAGCCATTAGTGCCGCAACCATTAGCCGCGAGGTTAATGCAAAGTTCCATAGCGCACGAACACGGGACGCCCCAAGAGGTCCGATACGATCCCTGACCTTCAGAATGAATGAATGGTAGAGGGGACTGTCTACCATTGCAGGTGGTGCGCACAACAGAACACCCCCAGGAGTGAAGTAAGCTCACCAGCTTAGGTCGATCTGAGCATATTCCAGTCGATATGCTCCGACGGTACGTAGTGTGGGCACGCGCGTTGGTGTGCGCCCCAATCGGTCGCTAGACTGACGTTGAAACTCATGACATTTAGAGCGTCGGTAAAATCGGCAAATATTTCGTAGGTAATTTCACTTACCTGTGCAGGTTGCCAATAATACCAACGTGATCTTGGGAACCGCGCTTTCAAACCAGCGAAACATCTTTTCACGAAAATAAACTTCACGCCACACTTAATTAGTACTTCAAACGCATAACATAGCCCATGCTACCAGTGACGTTGCTACAGCCATGAAACAGCTAGCAACATTTACGGCGACCGCAAACTTCTAGGCGCACCATTTTGGATTCCATCGCAAACTATGCTGACCGGGTGGGGGGGGGGGGGGAAGTAGTCTCAGCCTCAAGCTGGAATTATTCCTCCCTACGACAATCCAAGGATAAACCTCTCTAACAGTACTCCCATATGAGCTAACTAGCTCCAAAATTTGCGACCCAGCACTCCATCTTAACAGAATGCATCCCTGACTGTTACACGTGGGCCACGCGTGACCCTGTTCCGCGGCCATCCATGATCATGGCTAAACTCGGCAGGATTAGGCCTCACAAGTTTGCCCGTAACATTGAGACTCGCCTCGAACATGACATCTGGGGTTTCGCATGTTGCAGTCCTCCAAAAATGCTGCCCAGAAGCATCCGGCTCAACACAGCTGAGCGACAACTTCGGCTCCCGAGTCGTGCATTCCTTTTTTGGCGAATGTACATCACTGCTATTTTCAGTGCTTAACATTCTCTACGCGACACCATATGAGGTGTCCGTGCTACTCAGAAATCTGCTTTCCTACAATTAAAAAGAGCGAAGCATCTATCTCGCACTCGCTCTCGCTCTCGCTCTCGCTCTTCAATACACTTTATTTACAGCTATAGTATATAAAGTGCATGAAATAACGTAGCATGGCACCACATCATTGGATGTAGAACAGGTGAAAAGGATTCTCATTGTTAAGCTCACTGTGATCTTAAACATTGCATGGGTAAGTAATAATTTGCTACCTAAAGTTACAAATAAAATAACACAATCGGTACCATACCTTGCAACTCGAATGTCTGCATTTTCTGAGAAGGGACCAGAGCTTTGGGATGCTGAGAGCCACCCAGACCCTCTGGCCAAATCCTTGGGTGGGCCACTGACCGTATGAATCCAAACGCGATGAAACGAGTCAACAAGAAACTGTACGGTGTCCCAGCGTAACAAACAACTGGAAGAACATATAGTAGTCTTATCGGTATCTACTCCGCACCCGAAATCAGGACAAAGCATCCAAACTCCAGTTCATTACGGTCGATGGCGGCGTATCATTTAATGCTCCAGGGAGCCTCCGACGTTACGCCAATAGCCCATCGGCCGGACACGTTCTCCCGGCACGCGAACGCCAAATCGCCTGTCTGACCGTCTGTCTGTCCGCCTGTCGGCCTGTCGGTCGGACCCGCTAATGAGGTAAAGGTCTGACTGATTGAGTCGGTCACGGCCGCGCGGCACACTGGGTAGTCCGTCACAGCCGCGCGGCACACTGGATAGTCTCACAGCCGCGCGGCACACTGGATAGTCCGTCACAGCCGCGCGGCACACCGGATAGTCTCACAGCCGCGCGGCACACTGGATAGTCCGTCACAGCCGCGCGGCGCACCGGACAGTCCGTCACGGCCGCGTGGCACAATGGACAGTCCGTCACGGCCGCGTGGCACAATGGATAGTCCGTCACGGCCGCGTGGCACAATGGATAGTCCGTCACGGCCGCGTGGCACAATGGATAGTCCGTCACGGCCGCGTGGCACACTGGATAGTCCGTCACGGCCGCGTGGCACAATGGACAGTCCGTCACGGCCGCGTGGCACAATGGATAGTCCGTCACGGCCGCGTGGCACAATGAATAGTCCGTCGCGGCCGCGTGGCACAATGAATAGTCCGTCACGGCCGCGTGGCACAATGAATAGTCCGTCGCGGCCGCGTGGCACAATGAATAGTCCGTCACGGCCGCGTGGCACAATGGATGACGCACACTGGATGACGCCACCGGATGACGCTATCTGCCGTCTAATGGCGCCGTGGCGGGGCCAGCCGACGGCACCGGGGCTGCAGGCGTTACCTACGTTACGGCCCCTCAGGCGCGCTTGGAGGAAGCAGCTACCCCAGCTTGTCGTGGCAATACATGGAGCGCCGGAACGGCGGAAATGAATCACTCATTCACATGAAGTCTTGAGACACAGCTCGCACAAGGCTTTTCACGAGACTCCGAATGCAGCGTAAGCAGCCACGAAAGGAAGTTGTTAGAGCCGACTCAAGGCCTGAAGCCACGCCACACACCGCCGGCGGCAGTAGGCAAACGCCCCGCCCCAGGTGCCGTCCCCCGTCGCGGACCGGGCGACACCGGCGGGCCGATGGGATACCCCCACCTGGCGTGCCCACCAGGGCGTTCACGCACGCCGGCCGGCGGTCCTGTCCGGCCGTCAGGCACGCCGCCCGACTCTCGGTCCTATGAGCACCGCGGGCCGACTGGAAGCCGCGGCCGCCGACGGCCCGCCGAGCTTCACACCATGCTAGCGGCGGCTCGCTGCCGCCCGGCAGCCTCCCTACACAGCTGGTGAGTGACACGCTGCGTGCGACGTCCGGACCGTCGGTGGGGGCGGCGGCGGCGGAGGCTCGGGCCACCCGCCATCACAGCGCCGACACCCCGCCTATACCTCTGAAGGCCGCCAGAGCTTCGAGCTAGCGCAGTTGGTATGCAGGAGGTAGTCGTTTAGGTGATCTGTTCGCAGTGCTGCGTGTCTGTTTCGATGCGATCGTTTCCAAGCTACAACAACGCGTTGACTCGTCACTCGCTCTCGGGCGTTAATACCACAGTTGCATGAGTTTGCCAAAGCTTTGCGACCAAAACCTGCAGGTAACCGATTTGCCTTGTTGCATCTTCCCACAAACACTCGCGTTCATGCGTGCCATGCGCTACACCCTTCCTTCACATCACTTCTTTCCTCACTCCAAATGTTTGCTTTTGCACCACTCTTCGTGCATAGTTATGATCTTAACTACGACATCATCACGTCACAGTGCTGAGGCTTTGTCGACCTCTCGGTCGTAAGTACCTTGAAACTACCCCCGTTCTCATCAAAAGGGAGTTGCGAGTTTTTTACACAGGCAGTGAATTGCTTCTCATTCGATTCAGCGTTGTGGATGTCAGTAGCCCACAGTCCGTGCCCCCGCCGTGACGTCCTGCCTCCTGTGGTCGAGAAAGCACCAGCCGTAGCGCCACTCTGCCCACACGTCGACCAGACGGCTCCCGTCGTTCGTTCACGTCATCCCCGCGGGAACACAGATGCTGCGCGAGTGCCGGTGGAATATGTGGGGACGGCGGAGCGGAACTACCTGGATAAATTATACGACGCTTAGATGAGTGTCAGGGGAAATGAACATGGCCGAAGTCGTGGATACATCCCGCACTTGGGCAAAATGTCAAACCAAGCCAAAACGGCGAAGAGCACGAAATCACCTTGAAACCCCAGTCTGCAAGCATGACAGCACTTTTCACGCAGCCAAGCAGACTTACCTCGTTGGGTTCCGTGACTTCACCGATAATCGGGTCGATGTAGTCGCCATAGCATTTGCCCGCTATCGAACATTTGTTGAATAGCATGATGTTCTGAAAGGGACGGCAAAAAAGGTCCTGAATGCGCAGCAGGTACCTGGTGGCATTCGGCGGCCGCCGGGGCAGCACAAAGCCGAAACATACACGAAAAGGACACTGCATATTGGCTGTATTGAATAATTATTCATGTTTTACGGCATACCGGCAGCTACTGCAATTCTTTACCCATGGACAAGGGACATGGGAGACCGAACACGGAGTACCTATACCGTTGAGTCCCTGCCAAACTCCAGCCTTTACGTACCTAACTGGTCCAGGCAAGCTTGTCGCCTGATTTACCCTTCATCCCAAGGGGCACGAGGGTCATTTGATGGTCATGATAAAAGGACCATCATGTCTGACAAACGTAGCGGGACCTTCCCACCTGAGACTAGGACGTCAGCTACCCCGCCGGTCCGGCCCGATTTGTCGGCTCCCCCCCCCCCCCCTCCCCTCCCTCCCTCAGCGCCTTCCGTAACAAACGCGATACACTCGTCCCACCTGAGTGTCCCACCTGAGAGACTCGGACCTCAACCACCTCCGCAGAGCGGGCCCACACATATCCACAACCACATGTGACACCGGCACCCACCTGGGTGAGCGTGCCAGTCTTGTCGGAGAAAATGTACTGGACCTGACCCAGCTCTTCGTTCAGCGTGGTGGTGCGCGCCTTGGCGGGCGTATCCGTCTTCTCGTAGTACATCTGCAGGTCCCAGTTGATGAGGAAGCTCTGCATCAGGCGGATCACCTCCACACTGGCGGCGGTGGCAGCTGGTCAGTCCAACGCGCTCCAGCAAACAATGTGACCGCGCCGTGCACACGCCGAGGAAAACTTCCAAAAGCATCAGCATGGCTGTTCTCTGTTCCAAGAAAGAAATAAGAAATGTGCGTGTGTAGGGATCGTGCCAGAGCTTGTTCATACCCATAGAAAAACCTCATCGATACGCGCACGTCAATACTATCTGGACACAGAAAGCACACATCCCCTAAGACACAGACACGGGCCGTAATGATCCCGAGCAATAACGCCATGCTTAGTGTCAGTTCGTTAGCTCTCAGAGCTGGACTCCTAGCTAGAGCTGTTGGCGTCGTAAGCCGCCAGCTGCCCGGTTCTGGGCTGGGCTGGGCTGGGCTGGGCTGGGCTGGCTGGGCTGGGCTGGGCTGGTCTGGGCTCCGAGATAATCTTGCACGCCCCCTCCCTCCACCCCCTCTCATTAGGGTCACGCCGACAGAGCCGGCGCCGTCTGCATAATGGATCGGCCCGGCCGCCAACGTCCGATTAGGGCCGCTCAAACAGGCCGTGTTTGCAGGGCCACGGCACGCCGCCAGCGCGGCTGGTGAGGTCCGGATGCACCAGACGGCAGCGACGGGGGAGAGGCCAGGCCCGAGGCACACGCCGTCCGGCCTCAGCCGGGAGGCGGCGCCGCATGCGGAGCGCGTCTGCCCCGGCACCGCCCAGCCGCGCCGCGCGACGCCGCTCGCGGAGTGCGGCTGCCCCGGCACCGCCCAGCCGTGCGCGCGACGCCGCTCACACCTCCGCCTCCGCCTCAAGCTGACTTACCCTGACATACAGAGATATAGGCACGACGGTGTTGAGGGCGATAGCGTAGGAGAAGAAGACGAGCAGCGCAATGACGGTGGCGCCACCTGCCGGGTCGTCCGGCACCAGCGCATCCCACGGCAAATACACACGAAAATGCTGACCTGCCGACGTGCACACCGAGCTCGGTCACGCCGAACGGAGGCGGTGGGCGCCGGGGGCTCACACCAAGGCGCTGTACGGGATGTTGATACCGGTCTCGGCACATCACGGTCTGGTTTTACCTGCGTTAATTGTGACATGGGTCAAGCTACACAAAAAGCCCTTCGCACAGAGCGCTCTGTAAACACCAGGAGGACGCTGAGTGCGGCGTGCAACGACCGAGCGGTAACAAAATATGTCTTATGATAATGTATATGATGTCTAAGCGAAAAGAGTCAGACACCTGTCGCTCCATCAGCTTAGCCCTTTATCACAGCACAACACGTCGCTTAAAATGACTTCAGGATGAAGTACGGAAGTTGTACGGGACGCTGTTTAGGACGTTGAACGTAGTATTGCTCAGGCATGTCACGTTCGGAGTCTATCAGGGGGAATGACGTTCTTAACGAGCCCCTGCACGGTCGAAGGCGGCGAAATGACGCCGGTTGGCGCTGAAATGATAGCGCTGCTAAGCGGTCTGCTGGAGAAAAATATGCTTACCTGTACAGTTTCCCAATTCCGCAGGCAATAGTACAAAACAGGCACATCAGTAGGAAAAACACGATCTGAAAAGAAAAAAGACATTGTTTCAGAGTGCGAACGGTGGGGCCAGCAGTCGGCCCAGACCAAACGGGTCGGGCCTGCTGACGGGGGCGCCGCGAGGCCAGCCGCAGCAGGCCCCGCGCCGGCGCGGCGGTCATCATTGAGGGGGTCTGGCCGGTCAACCCCATGGGCGCCGCCGAGGCCAGCCCGCAGCAGGCCTCGCGCCGGCGCGGGTCATCATTGAGGGGGTCTGGCCGGTCCAACCCCATGGGCGCCGCCGAGGCCAGCCGCAGCAGGCCTCGCGCCGGCGTGGCGGGTCATCATTGAGGGGCTGGCCGGTCCAACCCATGGCCCGCCGAGGCCAGCCGCAGCAGGCCCCGCGCCGGCGCGGCGGTCATCATTGAGGGGGTCTGGCCCGGTCCAACCCCATGGGCGCCGCCGAGGCCAGCCAGCAGCAGGGCCTCGCGCCGGCGCGGCGGGTCATCATTGAGGGGTCTGGCCGGTCCAACCCCATGGGCGCCGCCGAGGCCAGCCCGCAGCAGGCCTCGCGCCGGCGTGGCGGGTCATCATTGAGGGGTTCTGGCCGTCCAACCCCATGGGCGCCGCCGAGGCCAGCCGCAGCAGGCCTCGCGCCGGCGTGGCGGTCATCATTGAGGGGGTCTGGCCGGTCAACCCCATGGCGCCGCCGAGGCAGCCGCAGCAGGCCTCGCGCCGGCGTGGCGGGTCATCATTGAGGAAGTCTGGCCGGTCCAACCCCATGGGCGCGGCCGAGGCCAGCCGCAGCAGGCCTCGCGCCGGCGTGGCGGGTCATCATTGAGGAAGTCTGGCCGGTCCAACCCCATGGGCGCCGCCGAGGCCAGCCGCAGCAGGCCTCGCGCCGGCGTGGCGGGTCATCATTGAGGGGGTCTGGCCGGTCCAACCCCATGGGCGCCGCCGAGGCCAGCCGCAGCAGGCCTCGCGCCGGCGTGGCGGGTATCACTGAAGGGGTCTGGCCGGTCCGAACCCACGGCAAGTCTTGCCACATTGCGAGCTGCTGCCGTGCCTATGCAGTGCGAGTGTCACGGCAGGGACGCAGCGCCACGCCCACTCACCCCCAGGATGATATAGTTCAGCAGGCGGTCGATGCTGGTGCGTTTGAACTTGGTCTTGCCCGAGTTCTGCATGAGCTTCGTCTCCCGGCCGGCGAACACCACCACGCCGTAGCACCACTGGGTGTTGCGCAGTACGCAGCCCCGCAGCAGAATCTTGTCATTATCCAGCGCGTACCTGCGGCGCCGAGAGCGCGGTCACTGGGCAGCCGGCGACGGTGGAGGCACAGGCGGAGGGCAAGCCCACCAGCGTGCGAGGCTGACCGGCCAAAACGTACGCCAGACGGATCTGACGGCTTACTGAGGCCATGGTACGTAGGTAGGCACGGGCCATCTCCGACCCCAAAGGGCATGAGGCAAGCTTGCTGGCTAACACCAAACCAAAGGCAGGAAACACCAAACCAAAGACAGGGAACACCAAACCAAAGACAGGGAACACCAAACCAAGGACAGGGAACACCAAACCAAACACAGGGAACACCAAACCAAAGACAGGGAACACCAAACCAAAGACTGGGAACACCAAACCAAAGACAGGGAACGCCAAGCCAAAGACAAGGAACACCAAACCAAAGACAGGGACGCCCTCAACGGTCCAAGGAGTCTCACACTCCCTCACCGCCCCGTGGGACGTTCTCAACAGAGCAATCGATAGAACCGCGCAGCGATTTGAAATGATCGCGTCAGCTAGAATATCGAAAACAGGAAAACACTTATCCATCGAGATGACATTTCCGAGCCAAACTGTCGATAAAAAGCACATCCAAAGCCATAAACACTCCCAAGTGGCAGCAGTTTTCAGATGGACGGCGGCGGCGCCCACACGGTGAAGCTGTCCGATCGAAGAGATGTAGGCAATCGAGCTAGACAGGGCGCGACCGACCCGTTCGCCAGGAAACTGGTGCACTAAGGGCACGGAGGCAGGGGGAACAGATTCACACGCCACAGGACACGGAGGCAGAGGAACAGTCACATGCGACAGAACGCCAGGAATATTTGTTTTCCAGGAAGCGACGCGCACCAGTGCAGTCGGCTGCTACGCACCACTCGTGCACAACAAAGCCATTTGCATCGCAGGCACCAGGCTCTGCACCGAAGCAAACACGACAGTTAATCATAGCACGGCGTGGCCAGATGACACGCTAGGTCTGACAGCGGCGTTAGATGTGCGCATTGTGCGGGGCTTCACTTACCTATTCCAAAAAGGCAGAGGTAGCAATGGAAGCTTATGCAAAGAACCGGTGACCAGAGGCCAAAATCGTAAACGGGAAAAACCGGGGCGGAGGGCATACTTTTCATATGAATACGAACGAACTGCGCTTGTATGATAAGGTCTCAGATAATCATTTCCAGGATGTGCAGGGGAACCCACCAGACCCAACCAATTGTAAGCATGAAAAGCTTTACCACAATGGCACTGGGTAGTTGCTGCGACATGCTACTTAGTGAGGAAATGTATTTCTTTAGAAATTGATCGCTGAAATTACTCCATTTCGTCACACATTACTTGACCATTGCATTGTGTCATCAAGACCTCAAAACTAGGACGCAGATGCAATTCTCCTCGTGATGTAACAAAGCACCAGTGAATCAAATTCAGCTCCGCCTCGGTCACTGCTTCCGAGAAGGAATATCAGCACGTCTACCGTTGCAGTGAGGCGCTCGTCACCTCTGCTCTCTGTCGGCTGGTCGGGTGCGTGTCTCCCGTGACTTCGACTCCCGGCCGTGACCGTCCCCTTCCCAGTCCGAGCTCCGGCCGTGACCGTCCCCTTCCCAGTCCGAGCCCCGGCCGTGACCGTCCCCTTCCCAGTCCGACCCCGGCCGTGGCCGTCCCCTTCCCAGTCCGAGCCCCGGTCGTGACCGTCCCCTTTCCAGTCCGAGCCCCGGCCGTGACCGTCCCCTTCCCAGTCCGAGCCCCGGCCGTGACCGTCCCCTTTCCAGTCCGACCCCCGGCCGTGACCGTCCCCTTCCCAGTCCGAGCCCCGGCCGTGACCGTCCTCTTCCCAGCCCGACCCCCGGCAGTGACCGTCCCCTTCCCAGTCCGACTGCCGGCCAGGCATGCCGTGGAGACGGGCCAGGCCAATGGCCGGCGGCCGGCGGCCCGGCCCGCGTTCGGCCGGTCACCAGGCAATGTTCGTCGACAGTAACAACGCGCGTCCACAGGTGGCACGCATCGATCGGCGGCGCCGTCGTCCGGGCCGACGGCGAGGCATCGACGGCGCCGGCCACGCCGACACCGCCGAGCCGTCGGCGCGGCCGGACGCAGCAGACCCGGCCGCGCCGACGGTCCGGTGCGCACGACGGCGGCGGCGGCGGCGGCGGCGGCGGCGGCGGCGGCCGTGCCCGTCTCCGGCAGACACCGGACCGGCCTGGCCAGCTGCTCAGCTGCAGCCACAGGTCTGATGGAACCTGCTTTAGTCATATACAGTGACGGTTATGACCGCCAGCCATGCCGCGGTCCCACTGAGCCCTCCTTCAGCAATGAAAACACTTTCAGCTGGAACGACCGGCCCGGTCGCAACGCCAGCTAACAGCCAGTGTCTTTGCCACCACTGGTTGGAGCTGCACACAACTTTCAGCAACAACAGACGCAATTATTTGCAAGTTGGCCGCATAAAATGTAAGGCCATTGCATGCACGCTGTTTGATCAGAGGCCAGTTCCCTCTACACCTACTAAGTAAACAAGCAATGCCTTGCCAAGCAACACAAGCGGTGCATGTTCGATCCATTGCCTGCGAAAGCATCCGCAGAAATCCGTTCAAGACCAGGCCAGGATCTCCGTCAGCGTCCGACGCAGCAGCACCAAGCCAACACCGTTTGGAGGAGAAGAGAAAGGGGCGTTGCACCGGCCAAAACGTGGGTCGTTTCGTGAAGTCGGCCACACGCATTCAGGCACAAAACTTGTATCTCCGCGTCTGGACTACTTTCAGGGTTGTCGTGAGATCTCACCAACCAGAGCAGATGGGGGCGCGAAACCAGGTGCGTGGTGTTTGCGCACGTATCGACTAGAAATTGCTAGACGACTTAAACACCGCAAAACTCAAACGCATGCCAGTGATCGACTGTAAGACGGCCAATATCATCTTTGTAAAAGCGATCTCACGTACCGTACGCTGTGGCCTAAACAGAGCAAGCTTGGGCCAAGAAACCGCACGGGCGAATGGTTCAGTTTGCTGCGGCCCACACTTACTACGTTTTCACAATACTTTGTGATGGTAAGCACAGAGTCGGCGCCACGAGTTTTGAGTTGGGAGAAGGGGAGAGGTACGATTTTCAAAGGGTCGCTTGGACAAAATGGGGCCTCTTGGGCAGCGTCCTATTCAAGGGGAGGGGAACGCGGCGCATATGCACCGTTGTCAAACTGACACATGTATCCAAGTAAATAGATGTAGAAAATTACAATCCATAATGGTGGTGTCATCCAATTATCCAGTGAAGGTTCACGGTTACCTAAACCGGGCCTCGTGACACATAAAGTCCTCCTAATCCATAGCAGAACGCTTCCGATTCAAGAATGGGGCCTCGAAATCTACCCAAGGGCCTCGTCGTCCAAATACGCAGCACCCTGGTTAGGAACCGCGGCCGTATGATGCATGAAAGGGGCCTCCTATTCCAGAGATGGTTCTGCTGAATATAGACGGCGCCCTTTAATCTAGAACAGGGCCCCCTACGTAGTAACGGGGGCCTCCCGATCCAGCAAAAGGGCCTCCTCAGCACAATGTGGGACCTCCTGATCTAGAACATCGGCCTCTTCATTTGTAAGGTGGCCTCCTGCTCCATAAAATGAGTCTGTTGAAGTAGAAAAGGGTATGTGATCACGAGTTATTACTCCTTAGCTCAGCTGTGGGGTCCTCCTTAACCTGAATTTGGGTAGCTTACGGATAGCTACAACATCTCTAGCTTGGGAAGAAGGGGCCTGCCATACATTCTGGGGAACAAAAACATGCTCTCGCCCGTCTGCCCCTTCCCCCTCCCCTCCCCTCTCCTCTCCTCCTTGCCGCGCCGCCCCAGGTTACAACGGCAGCCTTTTCAAATGAGCCTGCCAGGCCTGGCCAAACTCACGTCAGTACGAAGGCCACGCCGCCGGCTTCTCTGGACAGCTATGTCCACAGCTAGTCAATTTTCAACCGACATCCTGTGTGCGTCGCCACACAAACGCTCCTTCAGTGAACATCCGCTCACTAAACGAGGGACAGGCTATATTGATCAGACCACTCGATTTGATTCCGAGAGTGGTCTGGCTGCCTTAGTTTAAGCCTGGGTATCACGTACACAGCAATCACTGATAAAGCCCACGTCCGGTATACTCTTGCTGGTCCCACGCCACCAACGGAATCTCGCTGGTAGACACTGGCTCAAGCCACAGGGGGCATATCTAGCATAAACGCCTGTCAGCTGTAGCTGGTTGTCGACAGGGCACCGGAGGGCACGTAAGTAAACGGGGCGCCACGTCTGACCGCATGCCGACCCCTGCTCCATCAATCAAAGCCATCGCCACCCAGATGGCAACAGTGGTAGTGCGGTGTCACCGCGAGAGGCACCACACTATGACAGCGCTGAAGATGTCGAGGCTGACACCGCGGCGGCGGCTCAACAGATCGCCGACCCGCTGGTCGATACCAATCGAAGCGCCAAGCGATTCGCACCAAAGCCACACAGAAAACTTCGCGTAGCTATAGGCAGTTGAACAGCGTATCTCCTTACATGAAAACAGATGTGCGTTGCAAGGTCGCTGACCTATGGCAAGCCAAAGTAAGGCCGTGGCTGCCAGCGAAGACCATTTATAGGTAATCGTTCAACATGATGCGACATGCTGGACAAATTCGTACATCTTTGACAGTTTCGTAGGCAATCAGCCAAATGAATTTCAGATTACCACAAATTCCATTGACCTAGGGTCAGGTATGTAGGTCGGACCAAGGGTCAAAACTAGCTTGCTTTTTACTCGAGAGCTTGCTTTACGGGGTAGTTTCTGCTGCTCGTTTCAAATGCATTGATGACATGGGCAGCAACAGACTTTTATGGACTTTTATGGACAACAGACTTTCGATGGACTTTTTAATGTTCAGAGTAGGCCCATTTATCTAAAATTACCCAGGTAAACATTTTGTGTTTGATAAACATACCACCTAGCGTAACCACTGACGCTCATTTGAATGACAAAATAAGGGCAATAT